TTCGATTTCTCCCAGTACAGTCGACTTTTCTCAGCGAGGAAAAGGAATTTTGAAAAATTGCACGTGTAACTTTGTTCTTTTTTGAAAGGCGCATCTAGCCATATGTGAACATCGCGGATCTGACCTCTTGAAAAACCTGCGAAAACTTTGCGAGACGAGGGTGTCGAGCTTAAGCTCTGTCGGTCTCGGGCTTTGGTAAAAATCTATTTTTCGTCATGCGGCTTTGAGAGTTTGTTTTCTAGATTCAGTTTTCAATTCCAAATCCGAAAAACTTACTTTCAAGTTTCGAAATCAAAACCCTGAAAAAAGAACTCAACGCTAATTCTTGAATTTTTTCAGCTAATCTGGAAAATTTTATCAATACAGAGTTGTATGAACTCCGCTGCCCCTTTACTCGGGAGGCCAGACTGTATTTCATCTGCAGTCAGCTATTTATTAAACGTCGTTCAAAACGTACGTTAGATCTGAAAGGCTGCAATAAAGATTTGTTCATTGAAAAAAAAACTACATCGTTTATTTTACTTGTTAAATGACTGAGTACAGACGAATATCTTTCGAAATAAATATATATACAAAATCTATATAATAAACATACAAACAATAGAAATGCTTGGATAAAATGACTAGAATCAGATTAGTTTATTTACATAAATTTCTTTAATTCTATAATAGATTTGCTATTCAACTGTTCCTTTGACACTATGTTGACCATAAACTAAAACACAGACAACAAAGAGAAATCATGTCAAATTTTCAATTCAAAATTTCACAAAAAAGAAAAGAAGAGTACATGGATTAAATCGTATTCCAGGAATATGATTGTTAGGTCCCATATATCCAGCTGAGATAAGGGTATATAGGACACCTTTCAAATAATAATTTCAATCTATGTTAATGTTTGCAACCCGGATATGAGCAACTCCGACAGAAACTTATTTTATCTTAATTAATTTTCTTCTTTGTTTAATTAGCAATTGTGTATCTCGCTTTTGTTTACAAGAGTAGACACAAAAGTGAGTTCAACAATTCAAAACTAAATTTCATCAATGTTAATTTTGAAAGCGTACTCTGCGCTCTTCTACACTAATGAGATCAAAAAAGAAAACTACTCTGTGAAAACACTCGCACTACGGGTGTAACAAAAAAAGAAAAGAGTTTCAGAGTTGTAAAAATGTTTAACTGAGGCTGAAAAAATCAAAACTCAATTTAACTCTAATCTAATAAAAAACGCAGCTCTAACTCAATTCCACTAGAATGGAGCTCAACTCCAGAGTTGGAGTTGACCACCTCTGTTTCAACCGGTATTTCAATGATCCTATGTTATATACGATCATAATTTCCTATGCCATTTTCCCCGTTCGCTGCCGTTTCCTGCAACTTGTGCGCAGCGTAACTGCAATTTAGTGCTACTATTTTGAATTTTTGACTATTTACGTCAGAACATGAAATCAGATGTGGTGAAATATTCAATATTTCTCGAAGATAAACTATGAAGTGAAGTATTTGTAAATCGAAACTTTTGAATGTTTCTCATTTATGTTAACTTGTTCTTTTCCATGAATAAATCTAGTCATCGCAGTTTAAAAACTGATCTACGTATATTATCAAAAACTCTGTAGTCATCGGTAACGGTAAAAAAATTTTTTATTGAAGTTTTCCGCGGTAAAAATCTGAAGTTGTTATCGAAGCATCGGTAACGGTACGACGTTTTCATCGTTACTGCTCATCGCTAATCAAGATTGAATATTTAAACATATCCTCTGTGCCCTATATTTGATTACTTTCAGTACAAAACACAATATGATGATATAATAACGATCTATTGATACCGGACGTATTCGTTCTCTTGTTTTGTCTAGCAAATAAAATACGTACAGACAAATCCAAATGTTTTTGAAGACATTTTTCATAAACCGATTTATTAATCTTGAACAATTAACACTGCTGAATTCAAGTGACTGTGATTCAGATATAGTTTTGCCAGATTTGCTATGCTTCAAATAGCTATTTTATCTGTCAATTAACCAACAATATCCTCTTGACGATGGCAACAAACTTATTAACTTCAATGATAACACGCGCAAACTTCTCCTTCGGACCAAAATGGAAGTCAAGCGAGACCTAGATTTTCTACGGCTCTGGCGGTGTACCGGATTTCCTACGAGTCCCAGGACTGGCACCTGACGACTCTTCGTAGCCCTGAAAGCCAATGAACTATAGATAATCGATCATGCTGAGTCTTGTGGCAGTATTTGCTTTTAGAAAAAGTTTAAAAGTCTATCGGAAAAGGGAGTTTTACGAAAACTAGGGTTTTCAGACTGTTTTCACCTAATATTAAAAAATTCAGTGTTCACTCAAAATACATCAGAACGAGTTCAGAACTTCGGTATGTAAAGCATTTAGGCTACTCTGTATCCTATTTACAGGAGATCCAGAAAGAGATTTTATAGAATTCTAATGCTTTCCGATCGAAGAGGCATTAATAAAAATATGCTTTTTCGATTTTTTTTATCTTATAATCATGTTTAGCGGACAGAATTGATTATATTCTGAAGTTTTGAACTCGTTCTAATGTATTTTGAGTGAACACTGAATTTTTTAATATTAGGTGAAACAGTCTGAAAATCCTAGTTTTCGTAATAGTCCCTTTTCCGATAGACTTTTAAACTTTTTCTAAAAGCAAATACTGCCACAAGACTCAGCATGATCGATTATCTATTCATTGGCTTTCAGGGCTACGAAGAGTCACCAGGTGCCAGTCATGGGACTTTTAGGAAATCCGGTACAACGCCAGAGCCGTAGAAATCTAGGTCTCGCTTGACTCCCATTTTTTAGAGGACACTTGTAGCTACATATTCATGTAAAAAAACGACTACATTTCTATGAGAATTTCGGGAGTTCTCATCTGGTTTTCCAAAGATCTCCTCAAAAACCAACTTGAAATTTTTTTCCGAAACTCACTTCCGCTTATAGAAACACGGGCTCAGGTCTCTAGTTTCTAAAACTGAAAACCGCACCTCTCTATCTATTATCTATCAAAAGTTATTCAAAAAGCAACCGATGCTCTTGTATTTTGGAACGGATAGTAGATTCATCATGTGTTAGCTACATTTCAAGATCAAGATTGAGTATTTACACATGTCAGCTGTGCAGTGGCGGGGCGACCGGAGGCAATCCCCCATACTTTCAAAAAATTTTGCTCTGATTTACTCCAATTTACCCCGTCTCCACCATGCTCCAGATCTGTTTGCGCTGCTACTGCAGCCGTGTCCTACATTTGATTACTTTCAGTTGATCATATAGAACAAGAAAATCGCAATTCAAGAATACGATTTAATCCACCACATGAAAACAAATCTTGCGCTCACTTGTTTCTTTTCCAGTATTTTCATTTTCTATAACATAACGAACTTCTGAAGTTGTTGGATCTGATTTCTAGAATAGAAAAACAAAAAACATAATATTACATCTTTTCAATACAGAACTTATCCATTGGTGACGACCAAGTCCGTTTTTTCTATTTTAAACAAAATAAAACGGCAATCTGTATCAAGAAAAGGGTTTCTTCCTGACTAGATGAATTTTTCAAATAAAAAAAAAGAACCGAACTTTTCTCCATAAAATTAGCACAAGCAATTTGAAGCATTAAATAGGTCTTTTTAACTCTTTCAGAATCGGGTTATTTTTTGAAAAAAATTGTGTTTTTTTGGAAGATTTTTTTATTAAAGCATTTGTTTTCAAAGAAAAACCACAAATCATTTATAAATGATACCGGTCCTCAAAGGGTTAACTCATATAAAATGGCAAAAAGAAACGAAGGAAGAGGGAATATTCAGGTGGGAAAAAAGTATCTATTTTAATGGAATAAAACAAGCGGATGAACAAGCATCTCAGTTCCTGATCATGAAAGAAGGCAAACAATTCTGTTGAACACGCAATCCAGCTAAATGGAATCATGATACGAAAAGGGTAGGGAGTTTTTAGAACGTTTGGCAACAGTCTGACGGCCAACGCTTAAATCCATCATATAATAAACCTGTTCTCAATCCAAAATTTAAAATTTGGCGACATTAGGCTCACGAGAGGGTACTTAAACTACAGAACCTGTTCCTAAAATATTTTGTTGATCAAACCTTTCGTTCACAAGTTAAGCTTCTATGCACTATGGAGTCAGCTGAGTATGAAAAGCCAACCAAAAACAATGGAATCTAAGGCAGGTCAACCATTATCGACGTGGTATCTGCTTGAAGTCCTCTATAACGTTCAGTTAGTGTCAAAAGTAACACGATACTAGTGCTTAACTTGTAAAGGAAGCATTTTTTAAAGCTCATAAATTAAAACTAACTTGGAAACCTATATTCTGACATAATGTCGTTGCCCAATTCCTTTCCAATTTTATTTTTCACTTTCTGTTCGATGGCCTTTAGACTGTAAGTGTAAGATCGGGATAGAATAGGAAAAAATCACAAAACTTTTTACTGTAAGTTCTTAATATTTTTCCGTACGAGTATTGACTCAGCAGCAACACAATCTTTGTTTTGTTTTATGATAAAAAGATCATTTGAGGTGGATTTTTTCGAGATGAGAAACAGTATCGATTCCATTCTATTCCAGTACTTTTACTGAAAGATGTGGCTAAAAACGAATTTTGTTTAGTGGCAAAAAAACCGTCTCAGATTAGTAATGGCAATGATTCGATATCTTTTTGGCTTTAGAAATTGTTTTTGTTGTTTTCGAATCTAAGTAAAACCAATAAGTCATCTTACCTTTGCTCCTGTTAATACTTTTGTTACTTTTCCTCGTGCACGTCTTGATGAACCTTTATGAACTGGATCATATTCAATTGTTTCACCAACTGCATGTTCAACTTTTTGACTACCTTTTCTTTTTGTTGGCTTTTGAATTGGATGAACTTCTTCTTTATCATATGAATTTGTAGTCGCTGAGCCAACATTCGATTTTTTCTTCGATTTTGTCCCAGATGCCCGAGAAGCAGAACGTTTTCGTTTTTGAGCCATTTAATTTTTCTGAAATAGACAGAGAAACAAAACTAATAGACGAAATTTCTTTGTAAATGGGATTTTCTCAGATGAACAGTGATCTTTTTGCTCGTAAGCTCATCCTAAGTCCAGCCTGCGTTTGCGGTGCTCGTAAGACAGTATCCCATTACCTACTTGAATGTAAGAACTATACTCAACCGCGTTTGACGATGCTGCAGAAATTTGAGAGTTTGTTCCCGAACACTAATGTGACTATTAACCATCTTTTGATGAGACATAGAGATCTCCGCAAAGTCTCTATATCCGAGTTGAAGAAAATATATTATGCTGTTTCTGATTTCATAGTAGAAACATCAAGATTTGATAATGTTTGATGTCGTAGCTGTCATTCATAGTATGCTTATACATATAGTCACTGCACCTGTGGAATGTTCATTTAGATACAATTTTGATTATATTTGTTTTTTCGCTTCCTTCACACATACACACACACCATATTTGTTACTTCTGTCTTTTATCATATCCATTTTTTTTTGTGTAACTTTTATATCTTTTTTTATCATTCTCTCTTGTTCGCTCTTTGTATTCATTATATTGGGAATCGAGATCTATAATGCCTAGGTGATTGATCTCTAATAAATGTTTAGATTAATTTCTTTATTCTTAGCTCATGTTTAGCAATCGGAAACGAACCCTAGGAGCCAGTTCAAATACGACTCATTTCACAGAAATGAGAAAACTCACACTTGCTTGTAGCAGAAAAGGAGAAGCATTAGGGACAGATTTATTAGCAATGGTATCAGAATGTAAATCCAACAGTTTTTTGTATTCCTCTTCATTAATACAGTTTGTATCACTTTCAAAATAACAGTTGTGTTTGACATAGTTAACGGACAACATTTTTCGTAGTAGAAATGTGTAAATGAATTATTTTAGTCCCTTGACTTTACTCTAGGGTCCTACAAAATGGTTGCAGTCTATCGACCAACCATGGGAAAAACGCTTCGTTCTTTAGTTACAGAAATTCAGCATATGCAAGAATTTCTCGAACCAGAATTTCACATGCCGTTGAGAAAATGTTTTTGTACTACCACTACTAAGTTATGGTAAAAATTCCATCTCATTGGGACGAGCCATTTCGGTTTACATAAACACTAAACTACCTATTCACTGCGTTATAATTGCTTTATTGAATTTGTCCATTGTTTTGCAATAAGGCTGGCCCAACCAACACTTGGTTTTTCTTTTCGTTTTTGTTCTGTTACTTCCAGAGTGGACAAAATCAATAATAACCTAGTGAACAGGTAGTTCAGTGTTTCTACGAACTAAAATGGCTCGTCCTGATGAGCTGGAATTTTTAGCAAACTTAGTTATGATAAAATACAATTTCTGTAAAACGCGCGTGAACTTCTCGTGATTCATCCTATATTCCATCTTGTTTTATCGTCGATCGATAGACTGTTGACTGTCTTATCTGTGTATGCGGAATATGGAAAAATGGCTGTCAGATATTCCACGGATAAGCTAATCACAAGAGAGAAAACTAGAAAATTATTTTTTAACAACGAGCACAAGAGAGAAATATTCCAAGAGATGGCTGAAATATCTAGTGATGCAAAGGGAAAAAAAGATAAGCAGATGTTTTTGTAGTCCGATGATAGGTGTCGCTGGAAATCAATCAGTTTTGATAACACAAAAAGCCATCTGCGGACAAGAAAACTTGCAGAACACAGATAGTCTATCGTGGCGGATGAATTGATTAGGAATGCTTCCAGCCCTGTTGGGATGTTCAGTGGGTGTCCAGAAAAATGTTTAGCTTTATATTACATTGTGGGCTTTTTTCCGTGGAATTAGAGAAGCTCACAATATTCTGAGCCATTCGCAGAATATTATATTGGCTCTAATAAAACTGATCCTTGTGATAATATCTACCGATATACATTCTGAAAGTCCAAGCGTGCATGTTTTCACACAGGCAACTATGCAACAGTTAACCGCTCTCACTTTTATTCCTAGATCGGATGCCAGTTATATGGTAAACCATAATTGAGAAATACATGAGAAAAAACTATTAATATGATACTTATGACAAGTAGAAAGGATTTAGTTTAGACAAAGAGGGGGCGTGTTAATAAAACTACTATGTACAAATTATGATCTCAACTTCAAAAATGAGTCTGAGGTGAATGATTGAACCTGATTGCATGATGTTCGCGAAGAGACAACCGGGTAAAACACTGTGAAATCAGCATCTCAGCTATCCTAAGAAACATTCCTTTTAATAGACCCTTTTATATCAAAAGTTGTTTTCATTCCTTTTTGTGACATATACGGACTTTGTTAATCTGCGAAAGGGACGTGCCTCAAAAGAAAACTTGTCCAAAAATCCCGTAGTGTACCATTGTGACTACCGAAAATGAGACCTATTTAGATAAGGGAACAGAGATCTGAATTTGTTGTGCACGTCCTCCGAATTGACTACCTGACTCTCTCTATTCATACTGATTTTTCGTCTTAGATTATAACATGACAAAAGCATTGTCGGTCTCTTTTCAGTATAATAATCAAAAGCAAAAGAACTGAAGGAACGGCGAAGAAGCAAACGGAATACAAAAGCTGGCTGAAAATTAGCAGTATACGTATTTTGACGTATACTATAATATCCATCATCGTAAACTGTAGTATACTGCTGTGAAGGAGTGTTTAAAGCACTAAAATAGGTGAAAATCATTATATCGGCCAAGTATTTCGACTATTGACCCATGTGAACAAATTCTTGAAAGACCTGTTTATAGCTCATTTTGAAGCCCGTGAAATTCTCTATCGAATGATTTAATGAAAAAATTAATGGATATTTCAGTCGTGAACGACGCCGATCTACTGGTTTGCCGAGATGCTACAGAGTATTTCGGATCTTAGACTACCCAGTTATATTTTCTTAAGACTATCTTATGTATCATTTTGTAGCCCGTAAAATTCTCTATCGAATGATATGTAGTAGTTGATATTTGGTCTAGGTGAAAGAAGTGGAATAATGTAAATACTTTGAGTAAAGGTCGCTTATCGCTTAACGCGAGAAGAGGAGTAGTAGTAGTAGTAATACCCATTACCTTTCGGTGTAGAGTGAAACAAACAAAAAATGCACAAAAAAAAAAAAATAGACACCCCTAGTGAAACTTCTTGTAACCAAGATCTTGACTTCTTGAATTTTTTCAGTAAGATCTTGATTCAAGATCTTGGTAAGAAAATATAAGAATTCAAGAAATTTCAAGAAGTCAAGATCTTGAACAT